CACCCCCACCCCCACCCCCCTTTTCCTCTGCTCGGAATAGCTCTTACAAAGGAGGGAAGATGCATCCCAAACCCGATCCACAGCCCGTCCCCTCCAGATTAGTAGCGGCGAGAAAAAAATGTGGAGGGGAAAAGAAAAAAAAAAATAAAAAAGAAAAAAAATCGACAAAACAAGTGGTCTTCTTTGGCCAAAGAAACAAACTAAACAAAACCAACCTGGCGCCTGCCTTTGCCGCCTGGGCTGTGTGTCTGTGATGGCTGAGACCGTGGGGGTCCCCCGGAGATCTCGGGGTGAGTGTGAGTGTGCCAGCCCTTACCCAGCCACACGGAACCCAAACCAAAGCAGAACAAACCCTTCTTCTTGCTTTCCCTAAACTTTTCCTTTCTTTCGGTGCAAGGAGCACTTTGCAGCGACAGAGCAGGCAAATGATTTAAGGAAGGCATGGAGTAGGGAAAGATAAAAAAGGCAGGGCAGGAAATAAATCTGCTTTCCGGTAGACCCACAAAAGCAAACCTTCCTAGATAGGAGGGAGAAAAGATAAACGGGAGCAAATGTTCGCCAGAATGATAAAAATGCCTCGAGATATCCTATCTAGGTGTTAAAATACTGAGAGGTACAGCAGATAAAGCTAAATTCATCCGTCTGTCTATCTGATTATTCATTCACTCCACCCTAACCGGCACCTGGACCATCTAAAAAAAATTATTTCTATGTATCAAAAGCTCAGCTTTATCGGCTCAGAAATGCTTTCCCACGCGCTAAAAATTCACCTCCGCTAAATCGAGCCGGTTACTTAAATGAAATTGGTTTCCAAAATTGCAAACAACGCCATCCTGTATCTAATCCCCATTCCGAAATGTGCCCCAAATCAAAAGCAAACCTTCCTTCCCCCGACGAGCTGAGGAACTGAGGGCTTCCCCATCAGCAGCGAGAAACAAACGGGACCGTATTTACTGTACTTACTTTTCCCCCACACCTCGCTCCCTGGCATACAAAGCTGCCTATGGTGGTCTTTCCCAAAAGATGTAGCGGTCAAAAGACTCGGAGGAAAAAAAAAAGTCAACCCGAAATTTGTAAAATTAAGAAGGTTTATTTTTATATATTTTTATAAGGTCACTTAAAATCAAAGCACCAAAAAAAAATATCAAAAAAAACAATCTATCTATAATAAGGAAAAGAAATCTCTTTTTTTCCCATATCTTTTTCTATTTCCACCAACAAATAATGTTTTCTTTCATACCTCAGATGAGAACAACCTAGCTATTTAAACCTAGTTTTCTCCACTAAAATTCACTATATAATTTTGTCCTCTCTGGCCATTTTTTTGTTTACATTTTTCACAAGGATCTCCTTATGTTACCCCCCTCAAAAAAAAAAAAAAAAAAAAAAAAAAAAAAAAAAAAAAAAAAAAAAAAGTCTGCCATTCACTGCTCAACCCCAACTAAAACCTATTTACTCCTTTTTATAACCACGTCTGCTGCTGATTTTTTTGTATCTGTACAAATTTTTTTTCTTTGGCAGGCACAAAGCCTTGTATTTTTCAAAAGAGGGGATTAGGAACGTTTGCAAGACAGCAGACAATGCCTAAGTCCCGGGCAAAAAAGCACCATAGTTTATCCAATTTTCGACTTAGTGCCATTCAACTGGTCATTTATGCAATGTCATCCGACCAAACAACATGTTTCCCTTTTAAAAAGAAAAAAAAAAAAAAAAAAAGGTTGGTTAAGCTGCTAGAGGCACAGTCTCTTTTTATTTATTTAACGAAGAAGAAAATCAACAGTTTTCCTTTGGAAAATATTAATTTTTCGATCACAAGTTATTATCAAATAAAATACTTAGGTCTTTGTACTTAAATCTCTTCTTTATTCTTTTCCTCGTCCCTCTTTTTCCCAACACAAGAGGGAGTGTGCAGAGGTATCAAAAGGCCTGAGCAGTGAGAAGTTGAAAATATTAATATTTGTCGTTAGGACTTGGATGATTCAGAACAAAGTTGGACTCTGGCGAATATCACTGCGGGTGTAGAGGGAAGCGTTTTGGTGGCGAGCAGAAACAGGACTGCACAGAAATACTTTTAAACTAAAATTGTGGTCTAACCAGTCTACCCCTTTCTCCTTAGTCTTTCTTTTTAAAACGTTCATCAGCATATGCCTCATTTCAAATGCAACAAATGTAAATATACTTTTCCCTGCACAGAATTTTAAGTGAATGTCCAATAGTTTCGAGGGCGGTTTAAGTCAGCCTAACAGATGCAAACAGTCTTGGAGCTGGAGTGGCATCTTTCAGTGCCCTAAAAAGATTTTCCATGGGCAACAAAGAAAACTGTCACACCTTTTCCCATCACCGCTTTAATTTATGCTCAGTCGCCAAGTTTTTTTCATATTGATTTCATAATCACTTTAAGGCAGAACACTTAAAATAAAAAAGGGCCTTGAAAAGGAAGGTCTTACAGGGCCAGCGCCAATATGGTGAAAGTGGGGGAGAGAGCCAGGACTGTAAAGATTGTTTTGTAAAGTGGGGTTTTTATTATGCACCGACTCTCTCCGCATTTACTTAACTCTTCACGGGCTGTTGAATAGGTTAACACCCTTAAAGGCCTCTTTCATGTCCAATACCTCGTTTGTTTGTAGAGGAAAATGCGTCTTTAACACATTTCCACTGGGCAAAGATTTAGGTTTGGTTTGTTGTGTTTTTTTAACCCCAACATAAGGAAAAACCCAAAGAAAACCCAACCCTTTCAAGTCTTTTATCACTCCAATAAAAATATTTATTAAGGAGGGCGAAGATCCCCAAATAACCAGCCTTGTAACAGGAGAATAAAGAAGTGAGATCTCTTCGGACGTGCACCAGAAGCCCTAGGCAGGTTTTTTGATGGTTCTTCACCCCTCGCTCACACATGGGTGCCTGTGTGTGTGCGCACACAGATGCATATTCATCCCACCTATGTGCTGACACACGCATTGTTACAGCACCCTCACGACTCTGTGGAGCCGGCAAAGCCCAATAGGTCATCTGTTGTTTGTGCTCTTTGTCTATTTCCGTGCAGACTTTCTAAGTCGGTGTATATGTGTCGCAAAACATATCTGCGAATTTAGCTGTGTGCCCGAATATAAATATACCGCTAAACACTACAAAAACAGTAAAGTGCATTTTTTAGCTTTGGGCATGCAACTGTCGAGCGGGAATACACTTCTCTAAAAAGCACTTGTTTGTCTATCCTGCCATGTAATCGTCGGTCTAAGTTGCCAGTTCGGGATAAATTCGTATTTGAATGGCAATGAAAGGAAAATTATTCTGCGTTTGATGGGGTAGGGGCAGATGGCAGGATGGAGGGTGGATTTCACTTGGGTTCGCTGAAAGTAACTGTGTTTTTCCAGTTCACCTTAACTATTGTTCCTGGGCGAGTCATGCAACAAAACAAAAGCTGTGTGATCTCTCTGTGCGTTTCTGAGCCTGATTTCTTTCTTTCCTTTCTTTCCTTGTTTTCCCCTCATTACTTAAGAGCTCAGTGGAGGCCCAGTGTGGACTTGTACTCAACGGGCAAGGAGGTGTGATAAGAAGAGGTAAGAGGTTACAAATACTTGCGTCCATCAGTTTTTATAAACATGCATCCCTCTCCATCTCTCCCTGCCTTTCCCTCCCCCGCTGTTTAGCGTAGTTTGGATTTACTGCCGAAAAAGTGGTAATTTGCCGTTTGTCAGAAGTACTTTCAAACCTGCTTAGAGCACTTCACATTTCACAGTCCATTTGCACTTTACAAACGAGCTGCTCCTCGGTAGCTCTCGGATACTCTCTCTGAATTCAGACTTTTCCTGCCTCGGTAGAACATTCCCCGTTTAATCGGGATCATCCCTGAGAAACGTGTTCCCTGGCGCGGGGTTGTTAAATCGGTAGTTTGATCTCGTGTGAGGGGAAAAAAAAAAAGGACTTTTTTTGGAAATGTGGTTTCAGTAGAGCTACAGACCGGTGTGGAACTCGCTTTTGAGTGGCACTTCATTTGATAACCATCTGTCAGTGTAAATATCGAACATCAAAGTTAGAGGAGAGGTTTGCAACTCGTGTTAAATACACATCTCTACAGAATTTGCGAAATTTGAATGTCCCGGGGAGTTTGTTATTACCATCATTTACCCTGAAGAGAAACAACACTGGTGTAAAGGCCTAACGTAGGAACACATCTTAAACACATCCTTTCACTCCAGATATAAACCAGGTGATGCCATCGGGGAGAGGACACTTGGCGACTCAGCCTCTCACAACGCTCATTTCTTGTGCTATTATCCCCTTATTCACTACACCCAACACGAAAAACAGATATTTGGGAGATATTTTGGGTGGCGTGATACAGTTGTGTCAGGGAGCTGCTTTCAGCCATCACTTCCCTAGACAAACTTTAGTCCCACAGAAACAAAATTATTTATGGCTGGAACAGCAGTCCCGCACGCCTGTGGTGGGCGGGGATGGGGAGAGGGCTCTGTCTCCGGGGAGGGGACATTTTTTGGGGGCTCTGTCCCTGCAGCGGCCGGGGCCGGGCCGTGGCGGGCGGGCGGCGGCAGCGCCG